GGAACGCCATGGCGGGCTGCGTGAGGGACGCCCGCGCGATCCGTCGGCGGAGCGCGAGCGCCTCACACCCAACCGCTTCCCGCCGCGGACGGGGAGCGGCGCGGGACAAAACGCCTCGGCCCCAGCGAAGGCGAGGCTGGAGCCGTGTGGGCGGGGCCAGGGCGGCGAGGGGCCTCCGCCATTGGAGGGGAGCCGCGCGGCGGACGGCGTAAGGGGCGGGGACAGTCCCGGAGGCAGGATCTAGCCGGAGGGGGCGGTGGCATGGTGGTGGGCGGGGCTAAAGGGGACCCGAAGGGGCGGGGCGGTTTCGAAAAGAGAGGCGTCTTCGCCCGCAGAAGAGACGCGGGCGGATCGGAGCGAAGGGCGCGGAGCCGGCCGGAAAGGAGAAGATCCCTCCGCTGAAGAGGGAGGCGTCTTGATGCGTCTCCCCGTAATTCCTCCGCCTGGAAGGGGAGGGGACTATTTTGAACCTGGAAAAGCAGCTTTGCTTCCCCCAACCTGGTGGATTCCTGCACCTATCATCCACAGCCAACGCTGGATGGGGATGATGGGAGCGGTAGCCCGAGTCGGGAGGCACCTCGTTGCAAGAACGCTCCCTTCCCACCCTAATGCCTTTGGAATGCTTTTGGACTTCCACTCCCATCATGCCTTGCCATGAGCCGGAGCGGTGAGGACTGATGGGAGCTGTAGTCCCTCCAGTTTGTCTAAGGCTGTGTCTTAGGCCAGTCTTCCTCAGCCACAGCTTCAAGACGTGTGGACTTCAACTCCCAGAATTCCCCAGCCAGCATGGGAAGCTCACCCATCTTAAAGCGTATTGGATGGGGAACTCTGGGAGTTGAAGTCCACACGTCTTAAAGTGGCCTAGGTTGAGAAACCAGCCAGCCCTCTTTTTTCTGTCCATGGAAGGACTCCAAAATTATGAAAAATGCAGCCAGCAAAAGAATTAAAAGCCATGGCCTGAAACCTGCTGCGAGCACTTGGCGGGGGCAGCTGGACCGGGCTGCAGCCCCCAAAACGGGCTGTGGGGGTGCCAGAGGGACCCTCCTCGCCTCTTTGCTGCCCTCTGGCGGACACCCCGGTCCCTGCCACCCAGATGGAAGAAACGTTAGGAAAAGCCCATCCAACAGGAGCCTTAAATAATAGGATAAATGATGGGTTAAGTGTTAGTCACTCCAGCACCGTGGGCCTTCCCAAACAAGCCAGTTTCATGTCTACATAATCACAGACATCTCTTTAAAACGTTGGAGGGATGTTGGCAAGAGAACAACCCAAATGTCATTCGGTTTGAGCCTTTCGTAGCTGGTTCCCATCCAAGCTGTCAAAGATCCGTCAGGAATGAATGAGTGGCAAGCGTGCGATAGTTCGGTATGAATGGCAAGCAATTCTGTTTCACAGAAGCGGGCGGGATATAATTGGAGCTCCTGATTTAAAATAGAACCATTAGATGGGAGAGATAATAAGAGCACCAATTTAGGATATTCCTGTCCAAATATTTTTTTTTTTAAACGTTTAACTGGCACTGAGCAATTAAGACCATATTGTGTTTTATTCACATTCTTGGGAGGGATTCCCTGTCTTTCCATATTGTTTGGGGAAAGAAGTTCAGAAACTAAAGCAACTTGAGATTGTATGAATAATTAAATGTACCTTGTACTATCCGATGTTGTTAACATTTCACAGCATTTTCTCCACGCTATTGCCCTCCGTAAAAATTGGAGCTGGCAATGTCTTCTCTTTTGAGACCTCTCTTTGGCCAGAACAAAAAAATTAAACTGATTTTAATTTGCACTGAAATGGAAGTAAAACAGAATAATATGGTTATTCTCCAGTTGTGTTTGCTCAATGCTTTTCTCCTTCCGTCCTGTTAGCAATTCATTTTTCAGATCTTTAGGGGCTGAGTCAAGGTTTGACCGGGAGCCACTGGTAGTCTCAGGTCTTCAGATGAATTCTTCTGGGTTAGGAGGTTCAAAAACCATGGAGGACTCCAAGCTAAGACGGAGACTGAACTGTCTCTGCTAAAATAAAACTATTTACTAGGCAATACTGTAGACTCAGCC